CCAGCAGCATTTGTTGGAATTGGTTTTCCTTGCTTGTCTAATACTAATCCATCGGGATCTCTCGGTAGAGGTTCACCATCAGGGCCAATAACATCATAAATAGGTCGTCCATAACTATCAGTTGGAGGTAATGGGACATCCAATCCACCAGCTGGATAGATTATATTTCCGCTTCTATCTGTAGGCAGTGGTTCTCCACGATTGTTCACCGGAACACCAGCAGCATTTGTTGGAATCGGTCTGCCATATGGGTCCAACATGTCTCCACTACGACCTCTTGGTAGCACTTCACCATTCGGACCAATTATTGAATATACTGGTCGTCCGCTTTTGTCAGTTGGCGTGGGTTCTATATCCATTTCTTCCACTGGATATATGAAATTACCCAAGTGATCCCGCGGTAAAGGTCTTCCATGACTGTCAATAGGATATCCATGGGAATCTGTTGGAATCAGCCTTCCATACGGATTCACAATTGCTCCATCAGTATTCCGCTGCAATGGAGATCCGTCAGGCCCCAAAATAGTGTAAAATGGTGCATCAGTTCTTTCAGACGGATAACTTTCTTTTGAGTAGAAAACATAACCATTACGATCAATAGGGAGTGGTTTTCCATGATGGTCAAGCGGAATGCCTGCAGCATTCGTCGGAATGGGTCGTCCATTAATATCGGTTACCGCACCATTACTATCTTTCGGAAGCAACTGGCCATCCGGTCCGATCACCAAATACACCGGTCTGCCATTTCGGTCAGTTGGCATAGGTTCAATATCTAGATCATTGGCAGGATAAATGATATTTCCGTTTCGATCACGGGGAAAGGGTCTTCCACGATGATCCACTGGATATCCAGAAGCATCGGTTGGCACCGGTCTATTATCTGGACCAATAATCAATCCATCTTCATTTCGTGATAACGGTTCTCCATCTGTTCCGATAATAATGTATTCAGGTCTTCTCGGTCCTTCTGTTACAGCGGGATATCTGACTAAACCGTTCTCATCGAATGGCAGTGGTTCTCCACGCTCATTGACTGGAACACCAGCGGCATTTGTTGGCAGAGGCCTTCCATTCTCATCAACCACTCTTCCATCCTGATTTGTCGGTAATAAATTTCCATCAAGCCCGATTACTGGATAAATCGGTTTCCCATTAGAATCTGTTGGGAGAGGTTCAGTATCGATTCCTCTGGCGGGGTAAATAATAGAACCATTTCTATCACTGGGTAGTGGCCGTCCTTTTCTATCGACAGGTACTCCAGCTGCATTAGTTGGAAGCAAGTTACCGTCCGGATCAACTACAGTTCCATCATGTTTTCGAGGAAGTAACCTGCCATCTGGTCCAACCACTGAATAAACCGGTCTTCCATGTTGATCAGTTGGTGGTAGTGGACAATCCAAACCATCCTTCGGATAGATAGCTTGTCCCTCACTATTAGTTGGTAGCGGTTCGTTACGATAATTGACTGGTTCTCCAATGTTATTCGTGGGTATAGTCTTTCCTAAAAGATCTAAAACAGTGCCGTCTTCCATGGTCGGTAGCAAATAACCGTCAGGTCCGATGATGTTAAGCGGTCGTTTCACTCCCTTCCTTCCTTCAGTCATTGGTAGTATAAATATACCATCGGAAGTGGTCGGAAGTACAATATTAGATTCATCGACTGGATGCCCCTCGTTATTTACCAGCACCAATTGTCCGTCAGGACCAATGATATGCCCCATTTTATCGCTCTTGAGAAGTCTTCCATCGTATTGTACTTTCACAGGTTGTCCATCAGAATCTGTCGGCAAGACATAATTGCCTACATAAATAAAATTCCCATCAGAATCCTTCGGTAGCACTTCACCCTTCTCATCAACCGGCAGTCCGACATCATTGGTTGGAATGAGTTCCCCATATTCGTTAGCAAATCGACCATCCTCCATTGTTGTTAGTAATAATCCTTCCGGATTGAAAATTGGATAAATAATACGTCCAAGTTCATCTGTTGGCACAGCTTGTTGAACGACGGTTTCCGAATCTAAAATTATATACCGACCCTGTTCATCAGTTGGATAGGGTGAACCATCAACACTTACTGGACGCCCGGCAGTATCTGTTGCAAAAATTTGGCCGCGCTGATCGACATACAGACCTTGCTGATTTTTCTGGAACGGCTGATTATCTGGTCCAATAAGGGGATAAATTGGTCTCATATTAATATCAGTAGGTAACAGTTGTCCATCTTTTCCAATAACGGGATATATGTATTCTCCTTTATAGTTACGACGTAAAGGAATGCCATTTGGGCCTATCGGTCGGCCTTCATTATCCCACACGATTGGATTTCCGAGATTATCCACTGCTTGCCCATATTCATTGGTAGGTAAAGGTTCACCATCAAAACCAACAACTTGTGGCAAAATACCGGTTGGCATGGTAGACAGCTCCTTTGGATGCTCGGATTCAGGAATAAATGTTGGTGGGGTAACCTGAAACGTTTAATTCTTCAAAATTTGAAATCGATTGCTTTAGAAACTTAAAAGAATATTTTAAAGGACATTTAGACACAAACATAAGATCATAAGAATAGGATTTTATCGTTCTATGATTTCCTTAAATAAATATGACTGTATGCAAAGTCTCAAAATGCTCGATATTAATTCTAATAGATATTTCTGATAAATTGAAATAGTAAACCACTAAATTATTTTTAACAAAATCATGAGTATTTGTTATTTATTATCAACATTTAATTTGCTATTTAGAGTTCTTGAAATAATTTTAAATTGAAATAATTTTTCAAATTTTTGAAACGAAGTATGAAAGCAATTACTTGAACAATGCCAGCCTCTTCATCTTCAATAGGTTCGCATGATTTCTTATCATCAGCAAGTTTGAAACCATTATGACAATAGCACGATGCTGTTATCACTCCTTCTTCATCCTCTTCAAACATGCAGGCATGCGCACAATGGCATTGAATATCTGCAATGCTCAAACTTATAATTTTATCTAGATGCTTGAAGAGTGATAAAAATATCGATTTCAATTTCTGATATCTACCAGATTTACTGCCTAGAAACTTTTGACATTTTTGAAAATTCGACATATGAAAAACATTTTATAGGAAGGAAAAGGTGATATACCTCCGGAAGGTGTATGTATTTTAGATGGTTCACTTGCAAGATTATTGCCGTCGTCGAATTTTGCAATAACCTTAAATTGAAAAAAAATTTTTTGGAATTAATTTGGAAACTATTTGTAAAATAATTAATTTGAAGTAATGGAAATGAAACATCTATATATAATATGTTAAATTACCATAAATTAATTTAATTTTACTTGAGTAAGACGAAATAACTGACAATAATTAAAGGTGATATAGAATGCTTACCATAAAATTATACTCAGTATCAGGTTGTAAGCCATCTAACACAATCTTATCAGTAACATTAGCAGGTGTTTCCATATACATTACCGCTGATGGATTATTATCCGGCCAGTATTTGATAATGTATTTCTGAAACTTTTACTGCATTGAAGATTTTCATCTTGTAACGGACTGTGCGGATGAGCTTAATCGACAGGGTAAGATATTTAAAAAGTTTCCGAATGAAAATTCATCAAAGAGATGCAATGCCTAATATTGAAGAGATCCTTCTACCTATGGCTCTTAGATTATTACATAAAACTTGATTCCTTTTTCCTACGTCCTTCTTTTTGATAACCCAAAATAATCCAACCTTAATCGGTTCTGTAACAAGTGCTGGCTTAAAATCAAGCACTGTTTCACCATTGATATCAGTTCCAACACGTATATCGCTAGCTGGCTCTGAAATTTGCGACAAGAAAGGATTCGTCATCAAATTTTGCGCTTTTTACGATGATATTTCAAGTTTTTTTGGAAGTTATCTGAAGTTCAGTCTATTGAGTTAAAAGGAAATTTTTTTGGTGACAGTTGTAATTGAAAGAATATATAAGGATTCTCGAATTTTGAAGTAAATTATGTATTTACGCTTTCTTCTGAATCGAAACAATCAAGTTTAAGTCGATAATACTGTCTTTTTCTTTGATCCGTTATTTAAAAGATAAAGTTAATCTAAGATGAAAAATTACTTGGAGTCATTATATCGAAGACTGGTGTTTTGATTCCAGCAGATGGTTGCTCGATTACTAAATGATATTTAGCACCTGATTCCATTTCTGGTATAGCTACATGGTCTAAGGGACGACCATCAGATGGAATTAAATTCCAAGTTTCAAAAGGTTTTGACGGGTTATCAGTCCAATAGATATTCCAAGGATTGTGCTAAAACTTCACAAATCGCGCAGATTTTATGCTTTATTTGTAAAATAAAGAATTTCAAAAAAAAAAACTCTCTTTTTATGGATAAAAATTGTATTTGAAAAATGCTTACAGGTCCTTTAAGATAATCTGGTAAGTCATCCGTAAAGTGTATCACCGCCTCACCATCTTCATTCTTCGCAATCAAAAAATCATTTTTCCAAGTTGGTTGAAGATCTACAAAAATGGTGATATTTATATCTAACTGTTAAATATTCATTGAAATAGAACGTCTTCGTTACCAATTAAGTTACTTCTCTAAAGGATGACTGAAATCTCAAAATTCTCCCTTAAATGATAAGTTGATAGTGACTAAGTGATCGTCTATAAATTCAGTAGCATAACATTTTTTTAAAGTTCTCGATAAGATATAAGTAGCAAATAAGAGAATTGAGAGAAGTAAGATTTAATTAAAATTAATGCTTCAAATTTTATCATTAATAACTCTGATTAGAAATATATATTTAATGCATAGCTAAGTGGATCGAAAAGATTGAGATGTTTTTACACCTGGGACAAGACGAACACTGATTGTCCAATTGGCAAAACCGAGCGGACTTTGTGCAACGCAGTTGAATGATGTATCTTCGGTAATATTTGATACTTTCAGAAACCATATGGCATATTTCTCGTCTGCTTTCACCTAAACACTCTCGGAATATATTGCTTTTTTTTCCAAAACGATCGAATAATTAGACAAATAATTAGATTGAGAAGCAGCAAATTCTACGTATATGCCCAAACGGACGAAGTGCAACACTTCATGGATAAATTATGTCAGAAGTTTTGAATGGATTGTTTATGAAAAATGGATCTGGTAGTATTCGGGTTTTAAAAATTAATAATTTAAGTGGCATAAGAGAATGATAGGGTAAAAACTGTAAGAGCATAAAATAAATAGTGAAAACACTGCTATGCATTTTCAACTACGCGTTTGAATTATTAACGGACAGATTACTCAGTGAATTAAAATGATTATTTTAAAGCTTGTCATCATGAATTTCTATCGAAAATCTGTTCAATCTTCAGTTATTCTATCAATTACGAGATATAATAAAAAGGATTGAAACATTATGGTAATTTAACTTGTTCAAAAAAGATTTAGAAATGTTGCGAATTTTCAAAAGTACGAAACCCAAGCAGGATCAATGGGATAGTATCCGGAGCGGATCCATTTAACTGATGGACGAGGCTGTCCTGTTGCATTACATGATAGATCAAGTGCTGATCCTGGAAGAATCTTTATTTCCGTTTCACCTTCCACACCATGGTCACCGTTTGAAATGAGAATATACGGAGCGTTACCTGAAGTTCAAGTAATGTTTGCTTGTATGGTCCATAAAGTCATATTCATTTAAAATTAAAACTGATTGTTGTATTGTTTTATAATTGTCATTAGATTTTTATCTTCTACTTCAACTTTTCGTTCTCTTTAATTTGTTGAATAAATTTTTATTATTCAGTTCTTAACAGCCTATTTATTGTTGTGATTGGCAATTTAAATGAGTAATTTGTAAGTGGTTTGGAAGAGAGAAAAAAACATAGAAAAATAAACCGTCTGGAAGTGTTTTGGTGATACAAGCATCGGAAAATACTCCTGGCCCATCTGGATAAACAGCGCGAATCCGGAATACATATTCTGTATCCGGTTCAAGTAATCCATCAATCTTGTAGTACAGCTTATCTTCATCTTTTTCCGTTATTGATATCACACTCCTAAGAGCAAGAAGTAAATGAAATTTATATAAAAATTATAATGCAATTTATTACTGTCTGAAAAATTAGTCAGCTGTAAATTGTTAAAATTAGATAAATTGTAATTTAACCAAAACATTTTGCTGGTAAAAATAATGATAATTTCTAGAGAAGAGGAGGAAATAAAGTTATTTCATAAGTGCAGCAAGTAAATTGTTTATCACTTACAACTCACAGCTTATGATGGATACATCATTTTTAAATCATCATATCATAATCTCATATAACTTGTAAAACGATTTATTATTAGTCTCGAAGCGCACTTCTTAACAATAAAACTCGTACTCAAATGTAAATCAGACCTAAGTTATTAATCGAAAAACATCATCCAAAGGATAAATTAAAACACTATTACTGAAAGGAATATCTTATCAATTGTTTTAAAGTTATGCAATCATTTCACTTGCAGTTTCATTTTGATTTATATTGCTTCATAATTCAATCGTATCTCATTGAAAGGTTATCTCTCTCTTCTCTCTATATATAAAGCCTTTTTTATTAATTTGACTTCGCAGTATCTTTATCACAAACGAAAGTGTAATTCAGAAAGCCTGAGTTACTACCTTATCTTTTATCAATTGAAAAAACATACCAATCATCGATGCTCGCTAAATCATCTTCCCAGATTTTAGCATCTGCTTTAATGTAATACAATTCATAGCCAATTGGTAGTTGTTCACTAGTAATTGGTTTATGCCATTCAACATTTGCTGATCGTTGACTTTCTGGTTCAACTCTTAGGTCAAGTGGTGGACCCTCTCGAGCTAAAGTAACAGATATGAATAACAATATATTTTGCAGAAATATATTTTCTTCTTTGAGATATTTTTAAATATTTCTACCTAAAAGCCTAACTAATTTCACATTCCAAATAATTTTTTAACATTTGCACTTCCAGAAGATCTAATTCATTTCATTAATTTTACGATATGTGTACTTAAAAGCAAATGGTAAATTTTTCATTCGCCTAATTTCTTTTCCCATTTTCTGAGAAGTTATGAGAATTTAAGTTAAACCGCGTGACATTGTGCGGATAGTATGTTGTTCGGAATATGGTCCGGGTCCATCCTGATTGACAGCTTGTAGTACCACGGCATAAGCGGTATCCGGTTCAATAAAATCTGTTAGATCAACTTTTTGTGGCGCCCCAATCAATGGTTCACTCTCTTTATGAGAGGTCATCCATTCGGTTATTGGCTTCTTTGGAATTTGTCCCATTTGATAAATTATGTTCTGAAAATAAGCAAAAATGTGCATTTTATGATAACATACGGATAAAATTTCATATTTAATTGCAAATTCTAATTTCATCTTTAAATTTTATTCAAAGTATAAGCCTAACTTGATCATCTAATGGAGTGTAATAAATAATATAACGAGTGATATTTCCATTGGGTATCGTTGGTGGATCCCAATAAATATTAATTGTACGCGGTTTTATCGAATTCAACCGAATATTGCTGGGTGCATTTCCCGGACCTAAAATTTGGATCAAAACTTCTTTTATTTAATATCACAAAATGAAGTAAAAACCATTAAGTATTCAAAATTTCAGCTAGAAAACACTATAAAATTTTTAAAAAAAAATTCTAAAATCTACTTTGCAAGTCATTTTTGAAAAAGTTACTAAATATATTTGTCTGCACTTTTTTGCGATTAAGATTCCAAGGCCTTTACACACAGTTAAAATGATTACGATTAATCCAATCCGTGATTGCTAAAATGCAAAACAAAAGGATATCATTAAAACAAACCAGTAACGAAAATTTCAAAAGGAGTTTCAGCACGACCACCATCATTTTCCGCTACACATTTTGCTTTTATGGTCTCTTTCACATCTTGCAACCTTAGCATTCTTCCATCGCTAAGAGGCTGAAGAAATACTTTCAGAAAATAAAACAGAAAAATTAGCAACATGAAACGACACAACGTTTTTTCAGAAATTGTCATTAAATAATATCTTGTCAATGCAAAAGTTGATGTAAGTAAACATCAAAAAATTTACAAAAGCTTATTTTATCACAAAGAAATTTTATTTTGAAATTAATTTTCAAGATTTTGAATACAAAGGCTCAAATAGGAAACGCAATTCTCCATGAGCTAAATTTGCTCTTAATTTTTGTTATAGGAGATCTAATTTTTTTAACGGTCTAAAAACAAGAAATTTACATTTCGTTCCTATTATAGTAATATACGATTTCGAAACGTATAACTTTTTGAACTATTCAGATCTTTAATAAAACATTTTCCACTGCTGTAATTTTTATTGCTTTTCACTTGAATTTAGAACAAATGAAAAGGAGTTCGAAAATAGAGGATAAAAAAAGAAAATATATAACCTACCTGCCCATCCTCATCGATCCAAAAAACTTTCGGTGGAGGGAAACCGCTTGATGAACAACCAACTGTATAATCGCTACCAGGTGGTACATGTATCACGTTGTCTGGTACGTCAGCATTGATTTCTGGCTTCTCCGGTGGTATAACTGAAATGCATTCCGCCATAGTTAATAGAGTTATTTATTTTGTACTGTGCTAAATAATAGAATGACCGTATAATGTTAAATAAAATTGCCTAATTCTGAATCCGGAAAATCACATGACAAGAGAATTTCATAGTTTTCGGTTTCTTCCGAATTTAACAACCTTTGTTTGAACTATTTTATTGTGTAGTATCTGACCTACTGTTAATAAATGAAACACAAACTTCCATCTCCAGTCTGAAAGACAATCGGTTCTGACGGTGGGCTATCGATTTCACCACGAGCTGTTACCTACAATAAATTAAGTATGATCAGATTTTATTTTTCTTTTTTCTCAAATAAAACTTATTTCGTTCATTTAACGATTAAGAATTACAATAATTAGGAATTTCAAATTAACCAAATCAGAAACAATCTAACTTTGATTGAATATTTGGTGTCAGGCTTGAAATGTTCACCGCCGATCGGAATGTTAACTGAAAAATCATCATCCGGTTCTGTCCAGAACATTTCTTTCCATTGCGCATCTTCACTCGCTGGATCATCCTCCGTGTAATGGACAACAAACTCCTAAATATACTTATATTTACGGTGCTTTTGATATTGATATCAATAATCGATAACAATTATGCAATCGTATATAAGTGGAATTGATTAAAGATAAACAAATGACTGGAGAAAATTAAAGAAATTAACGCAAAAATGAATTATTCTATTATGTTATCGATTAATACTGTACGAACCTTAATGGGTTTTTCTGGATCTCCGGGATCTTTCGGTGCATCGAATTGGATAGCAACAGTATTATTGTCATGAACCATTATATCAGCTGGTTGGACAACAGCAGGAGCTAAATTAGGATTTTTGACTTTATATATTTAATTTCCTTTGAATTCTGAAAGACTTAAAAGTTTAAGCAAAAATCATTTTTTGGAATAACCTAATGGTAGCGTTGTTAGTCTGATTGGGTCAGATAAAACACCCGGTCCACGATCACTGATCGCTTGCAATCGAATTGCGTAATTAGTTTTTGGTTTTAATCCAGCAAGACGATACTTTTGTGGTTCATCAGCTGATACTCGTATAGTTTCCCACGTACGTGGAAGAGCTTCTCCTGTAAGACGAAAAATAATAGATGTCTTTAAATTTCAAATATTCTAATCGAGAGTTAGATAAAATTTCACATTTGGAACATTATGAATTAAAAAACAGAAATGATTTAATTTAGCTTTAGTTAATAATTTAATATAAATATTTTGATTAAATTAATAATAATTTTGTTCCTGTAATAATATGACAAAATACAATCTCAATGAACTAATTTGTAGCTATTAGTCGAAATAAATTTCATGATTATCATAATTTTATTGAATAATGAAAACATTGCTTTAAATAAAAATTGAACATTATGAAATTTTGCAAAAACAAAATTTATCCGTTACCAACCATTAAAAACTTCCCCGTAATGAATAATGTAATCAGTTATTTTCCCATTCGGACTATCTGGTGTCGTCCACTCTATGTTTGCTTCTTGATTTTCTAGCGGGAAAGTTACAATTTCATTGGGTGGAGTTCCAGGTCCTAAAATTTATAAAAAGTGCAAAAGAAATGCACAGAAAGTTCAATATTAATGATTTGAAAATTTGACGGAGCAATCAGAGCTCTATTAAAGTTTACACTTTATTTCCTACTTTTCATAATTTGTGTATGCGTGTGTGTGTGTGTGTGTGTCAGTCACATATATTGAAAACAAAATATGAGAAAAACAAACCGGCTACAAGTATTTGTAACACTTCTTGAACTTGCCCGGCATTATTTTCAGCTTTACAAGTTGCAGTTTCATCTTTCCGCAAATCGCTTAATTGAAGAATTGATCCACGTATGATGTCACTAGCATTTGTACCAATAATCCACATTACGGTAGGTGGTGGTATTCCTATTGCGATGCATCGCACTGATACTGAACCATGCGGTGGTACAGTAGCTGGATTATCACTCGGTTCCAGACGTATTACCGGAGATGTTTCTGAAACAGATAAAAATTTTATTCGAGGTCTAATAAAAAAAATAGAGCATTTTCTCTGCAAATAACGCAGTTTGAATTTGAAAAAATATAAATTTCCAAATTTAATGCAAAATAAAGAAAATATGAAAGGATAATGTAACATTTTGACCTCCACTTTCAGTTCTGACAGTTATGGGTTCACTTGCTGGACCTTCCGATAGATCGTTAGTTGCAGAAATTCGAATTCGATACAACTGATTGGGCAAAATATCGTGGGCTTCTTTATTCAACCGTAAAGTTCCAGAATTATCGTTACTTTGAATGATAATTTTATCCCACTGTTTGTAGGCATCATCTGATGTTTGTTGTTCGTCCAATGGAGTGAAATAAACTGTGTAAGCCTAGAAGTGAAAATTTCTAATTACTACTTCTTCTGTTGAAATTCTATTCGTTACTTGTACATATTAATAAATGCCGTATTGTTACGGTTCAGAGAAACTTGCCTGAATTTGACCATTAGGAACACTTGGCCCTGTCCAAGATATATCCATGGTGTTGTCTTGCTCCACTGTTGCTAATACATCTTTTGGTGCGTCGATTGGTGCTAAGAAATTAAGTGTTTGAGCAGAATTTGCATTAAAATTCCGATTTTGATTTGAATGGATTAATTAACACAAGAATTAATGGAGAATCTTTCTTCAACTTCCTAAACTATTTCTGATTACTCTTTTTTCTATGGTGACAGAAGTGATAGAGGTATTTGATGGGATAAAATAATCCCATTGAGAAGTACCTCCACTGACTGTTTCGAATAGAACAATATCAGACTGTAAACCATCACCCTCTTCACCGACTGCTGCAACCCTTACATAATACGGAGTTTCCGGCTGTAATTGACCACGTTCCATTACCAAGTGCGGTGCTTCACTCGGTTCAGCGTCATAAATGCGCCAATCGCTGATCGGTTCGGCCGGATCAGATGTCACATATACTTTATATTTCTAAGGAAACATTGAAGTAATTTGAGTTCATAAAAAATAAAAATAAAATAAAGAAATTCTATGCAATTAGCTCCTTCCAATAAATTTATAAACTGCAGTCCTTTTTCAAAATGATTACAAAATGGTATTAAATTTTATTTAATTAACAATTTCCAATAGGTATTTAATTTTACAAATACTCAAAAGGAATTTTCAAATGACTAAAAATTATTTTTGTAATATGAAATCATACGAACTATAATAGGTCCATTAGGATATTTTGGTTCTTGCCAGGATATTGTGACACGATTATCTGGATCAATGATTGCTTGAATATTTTCTGGTGGACTACCCGGTTCTGAAATATTTTCATATTCAGGTTCATTTCTATTTTAATTTCTAAGCTTCATTCTCTCTTATCTCATTCTCAATAGCAATTATGCACAATGGATTAACTCATAACTTACTTAACACTTATTAATTCTTAGTTAAAGGATTAAAATTTCATTTAAATTTCTCAAAATATTTGTTCATATAAATGTGAAAAACACACTTAAAACATTGAAAATATGCCGATCGCTCACAGAACCATCAGCATTTCGAGCAGTACACATTAGCGCACGCTTAGTAACTGTATTAGTGTTGACATCCAACGAATGGTACCGATGGACTTCTTCTGGATCTGAATAAGCCGGAATTGGTATTGGTTCCTATAAAAGCATTTAATTTTTTGTTTATTTTGAATTGGAAATCTTTGATGAATGAATAATATGATAGGGTGTTACCAGAGTATGGATATATATTTTTTTAATGCAGTTAATATTATAAAAAGTCAATAACTTATGCTCAAAATTTATACTCAAACTTTTTTCACCGACTTATTTATTTAAAAATTCAATTTTCTGTATTTTAGGTGAAAAAAAATCAATTTATGCAAATAAATTTGTAAAAAAATAAACATTGTATGGATAGACTGAAGCATACCTGTCCACTTTCGGTTTCATTGAACGGTAGCCAACTGTATGAAATTTGAGGTGCTGGCCTCCCTTTCGAATCACATTTAAACTTAATTGTCTGTAATGGCTCTACGACTGTCTCTGTATCAGTTTCCTTTACTTCGGGATCCAATATGATCAGTTTTACAGAAAGCGGAACTGCTAAAAAAGAAATGAGTATCCGTAATGATACTTTTTTGTGGGATAGATAAGCTGATAAAAGCATTATCATTTTTATCTATATTTATAAAATATAATGAAATTTTGCTGTTTTTCTCAAATCATATTGACGTTTACAGCATGAAAGTCAAAGCTGCAAATAATAATTTTAAATTTCTTCAACTTCATCTGCAATATTTCTCTCATTCAGCATTTCAAACTTCATGTAAAAAAATGAACTGACGTTTTTTGCCAGTAGTAACATCATAAGCTTCCGATATGAGACCAAGACCATCCTTAGTGGCAGCTTGTACTCGGACATTATATGGTGTGTCCTCATCTGCCGGTATGGTTACTTCAAGCTGATCACCTTCAACACTCGTCTTTTCCCAATTTCCCAGTGCATCGTCTGGATTTTTTGTATAGTAAATAATATAACGCTGAAATTCATACCATACTAAATTATTTAAATTTTAATAAAACAACATAAAAGCATTCGCCCCACTTCTTTAATAAATTTTCAAGATCATTCATATTCTTTCAAAATAAACACTCAATGAGTTATGCTTTATACTTGTTCAAAAACAGTATTTTTTAAATTTATCATTATTTTAGCAAATGTAAGATTGATTTGCTTTGCAAATTTGTTAAAATTTTGAGAAATTAAAAGAAGAGATTGTATACTTACCGTAATCTTCCCATTCGGATATTTTGGTGGATTCCAAGTAACTTTAAAATTGTTTGTAAATGGAATTATTACAATATCACGTGGTGGACTTCCAGGTCCAACAATCTTCACCTCAGTACGTTTTTCGTCCGAACCTATGAATTTTACAAAATTAATAATACTAGTGAAAATGAATGCTTTTATTTTCGAAAATATTTTTATCTTTTATATTCATGCCAAATTAGTCATTAATGAAAATAAATTTCAATATTACAAAAATTTTCAAGATTTCTTGAAGGCATTAAATGTTTCAAATTAGCGAGATTGTCGATTATTGGTTAATTTAAAAGGAATCTTCCAACTACTTTTTACATTAAAAAAAGAAAAAAGAAAAACAACAAACCATAAGCGTTGACAGCTTGACATGTGGCTACTCCAGCTCGATTTGTCTTCTCAGCAATTAGCTTACTGTTAGATCGTATTTCCTGCGCATCTGGTGGTGTCACATCATAAATGCGAAATTCATTCTACAAAAAAAATTGCATGTATGATGCTATAACATTCTTCTAATGCATAATGCTCTATCAGTTCAGGAAACGTTGTAATATATCTACATCTAAAAAATTGATAAGCGATCAAATTGTTGTAACACAATCAAGTTTTTATAATTGAAAGCTAACCTTTCCGTCTTCAACTAGGCCACCACTCCATAGCCAGAGTATTTTTGGTCGTGGTACACCGACTGCTTCACATTCAAAAACGAGTTCCTCATTACTTGGATCTTTCACTATCTTCTCAGCGGGTGTAATTGTTACAACTGGCGGACGAGCTATAATTTAGAAACTAAGCTCATTTTTTCATTTTCATTCATTTTTCTTTTTTACTTTCTTTACTCGAAAATGATAAAAATTGAAAAGAGAGGAAATATGTTTCACACAAACCAGCAAGCCAAGTTGTTAAAGTAAATTGATCACTGAAAAGACCGGGACCCAATTCATTATATGCTCGCATTTTGAATGTGTAATCTTTTTTCTCTTTCAAATTTGATATTCTTAGAGAACGCGCATCTGCACTTCCAGCTTTTTCAACTTCCCAATATTCATCTGATAAATTCGGATTATCTGTATATAATACCTGCAATTTCTAGTTATTATTAAGCTAAAAGATATTTCATTTTTTCCAAATCAATTAAACTAGTCAAATAAAATAAGCTTCAATTTAGCTTTTGAAAATTAGTTCAAATATTATTCCATTGTTTTTTGAGAACATTTTTTCTCCTATTATCATAAAAATACAAACATCATAATCTTTCAATGGTCCGTTTGTGATACGCGGTGGTTCCCATTGCAAATCAACATTGTTACCGTTAATTTGATAGCGTATCCGTTCCGGAGATGTTGGCCCTATATGATATGATAACGAATTAAGTAATAATGTATTGAGTAAAGGCATACTATCACTATTGATTATGTCAATATTTTTCCTCTGAAAAAGAATCTCTCACCAGTTACAATAACTTGTATTCTTTTCGTTGTTCGACCAGCTTCATTTTCAGCAACACATGAGAAATTTGTACTTTCATAAAGACCGCCATGTTCCATTGTTATAAATTTTTTTCTCTGCGGTTTATTGATTGGCCGTGCCCTATCATAAAGTAAGCTAATCATATCGATTTCTTGGTTAAATTTAAAAATTAAAGATTCTTAGTAAGACTTTTTAAAATAAATTTAAAAGAATTGCTAGTTTAAATATTAATTTTAGCACTTAATCTTATTTCAAGTCCAAAATATTCAACTTAAAGAAATAATAAAAGGATTAGGATTTTATTTCGTTTTAGTTATTTGTAACTTAATTAATAGAATTTTAGTCTAACAGCAATTGATATACCTCGTATACCACGCTATTTTTGGTGACGGGTCTCCACGTGTTACATTACAATTGATGCGGAATCGTTGCAATGGACCGACGTATATCTTGTCACCTTCTTGAATGAATATTTGCGGTCGTATTGCTGAAATTCCGTAAGTGTTTACTCTAATTTTAAATCATTTATATTTTTATTCCTCTAATTAATCTTTGATGAAAATGAGGAATTATTTATCTTAGCAGGATCTAACAAAAGATAATAAATATTTAAAGTTTATCATCACTTATTATCAAGATCTTCTAATCATTCATTGAGCAGTAGTGCATATAAACTTTAACATTCTATGATGTTGATCATCAAACTATTCCATTTGATTTACTTACTATTTCATTAAATAATTAATTACCAGATTGCTAAATGTGACAGAAATTAGATAGTTTAAGTGATCGAAATTGTTTGGGTTAGCAAAACTGAAAATATCAGGTTTCAAAATGAATTCAATGATAATCGAGTGCTAAAATTATTGGGACAAAGTTCGAAATTCTTCAATTTTTTGTATTTTTAGTTATCCATTTGTTTAATATATTTTTTTATTTACCTGGTTTACGTGTGTTAAGTGAAACTGGATTTGAGAGACGTCCTGGGCCTAGTTTATCGTTTGCTCGTAAGCGAATGAAATATTGCGTATTTGGCCGAAGATCCTTGATCGTTACCTCACGATTTGGTTCTGTGTAAAAAATAAAAATTTAAATATTGCACCTTTTAAAGTCATTGTAAATTTTTTTTAAGTTAATATCTTCAAATATTTCTTATTAAGGTCTAATAGGATTTACTTCATATTTTTCAGTTTTATACTGATAGCTTTAACATAACTATAAATAAATTACCATCAACGTTTACTTTCTTCCAATTTTTGATTGGTTGATTGCCATTACTGGTGTAATAAACTGTATATGAAGTAACCGGTCGATTCATAATTACCGGTGGATCCCATCGGATATAAACTGATGAACGGCCAGCATCAATACCGCGAACTATTGGTGCTGATCCCGGACCTATACTAATAAATTAATGATTAAATGATATATAGTACTTATTGTATATATCTCCCAGCATATCATACAGGACAAAAGTCATCAACAAATGCAAAAAGAGCAGCAGTAAAACTACATTGTAGAATGTTTTGTTTTGGATAGAAATAATCTTCAAAATATTTAGAAGTTAGGATATTTAATTGTAAGAGCTATTTTTTGATGAATGAATTGCTAATTTCAAGGAATGATTCCATGTAATTTATCAAATCTATCACTTATGAAACAGATCAAGAATGAGATTTTTATTACAGTAAAGTAATTCATACCATCATATAAAATTATGGTAAAAAATTAGATTTCTATTAGATTGAATGAAACAGTAAAATGAAATCTACCGGTGACAACAATTTCAATTGTACGATCCGTTTTACCCAATGAATTATTGGCATGACAAGTGAATTGAGTGTTTTTATAGAGCTCTTTGATGATTAAAATTTGTTCACTTCGAACAGTTCCCGGTTTTACTGGTGCGACATCGACTGTCTCATCACCACTACAAGGAAATAAAAGTAATATAGCAATAAGGATCAATTGAACATTCCAGGAAAGTTCAAATAAACTGCGAAAATACTTTTTGCTAGATGAACTGGAGTCATGTGATCAAACTATTATCCATTTATTTATCAAAAAATGAATAAAACTGAAAATTTTTTGAATTAACTGTAAAAGTTTCTAACTACATATTGCCTTTAATGGATAGTAGATTGAGACAGATTTATTTCTGAATTCAAAATTTTACGATAACTTACCGTTGCCAGAATATTTGCGGAAATGGATATGAAACTGCAGAACACGTAATGTTTAAATTTCCACCTGGCGTTATTTCATATGGTGCTGCTGGTTCGATGTAAATCTTTGGCCGGCCACGAAGTACTGAATTGAAATTTTTTGAAAAAATTAAATTCAATTGCTATAACTTATCAGTTTCAATTATTTAATTATATACTGTTCTGGCTTTAATAATAAATATAATCAGATGTTATAGAAGAGTTCGATTTATTTTCAACAAATGTGCAAAAATTATATGGTAAGTATTGTAAAGTTATGAAATTCTTACGCAAGCATTTTTCGCCTGTTGGACAGGTACACGAATATTGATTCTCATTAATAGCCGTGCATGAACAGCTGTTAAGAATGCGACACAGATTCTTTGGGATAGGTTCTAAAATAAACAACGAATTTTAATTAAAAAATGCATTTGAATTTATTTGATTTCGAAGGAAGAGAAAAACTTTTATCAATATTCGAATTTTTTTTCCTTCTGAATCAAATAAATATTTCTCATATTTTTCTTAAATAAAAACTTTAGAAAATTTTTTGATAATATATTAACAAAAATATTTGAAAAAATTTAGCATTTTATTTTTTGACAATAAAGGAATGATACAGTTTGAAGAAACTCTTACTGATGCAAGTTTTCTGATCGCTATCAAGAACTAATCCATGTGGACAACGACATTCCACTTCTCGATCTTCAATTGACAGACAAGAATGGCTGCATCCACCATTGTCCACTTCACATAAACCTTCAATAAAAACAAATGCTCATTTTACATTATCATTAAATGCTTGAAAAGAGAGATGAAAAAAGTTTCATAATTTACAATTTATAAATTCAAATTGATAGCTTCAAAGATATTTCAAAAAAAGATAAAGTGATTTACAAAATTTAATATTATTTGATAATATGATATGATTTTTATGTTTAGTTTTGCATTCTACAATTTCAACATATTTTCATCAATCAATTTATCAAACAAATTAATTTAAAAATGTTTGCAATTACCTTTTCCACGACATTTTGGTGGTGTTATAACCCATTGACGATTGATACAAAACATTGAGTTCACTTCATCCACAAATTCATACCCGTCATCGCATTCATACAATGCAAATAAAAATGAATTCTTGCTAAATGTTGTATTCTGTGGAATAGGTAAATTTTTTTGCCGGTAATATTGTCGCACAAGACGGCGGAGATTGTCGGGCGGTACAAATGCCATAGCACGAATACTAAAATTCAGATAAGAAGTGTTAAGTAATCGTTTTCATTTGATTGACCTGTTAGGTCAATGGAATTGAAAACAGCTGACAATAGTTAATATAATTTGATATTTCTCGTATAAATGCAGAAATAACAATATGCAACTAACGCGGCATGTTTGATAGCGGGTGCCGAAACCATACCACTTCCCACATCGGTACAAGTTGTATCCAAATCCTCATATCGTGGCCAACAGATCTCACGACCGCTTTCGGTCGAAAAATGACACTGACCAGCGTCAGGAGGTGGAAATGGTGGCGCTGTCACTGTAAAATTTGCGAAATCGATGTTTTCCTTGACTTAAATTGCTGGTGCTTGCAGAAATGGCTTGCTTCATGACGATAAGCATGCACCGCTTGCAAATTCTAATTTTACCACTGTTACTTTTTTTTGGATTTCATTTCTTCTGATATGAAAATTGAGAAATTTTCATTATTTCCAAAATTCTTATAAAATGCCATTTTTCAAATTGAAATTTGCAATCAATGCAGAGCATAACGCATGTAATTTAAATGGACTAAATTCATTCATTTTTTTTCATCAGAATGAAAAGTCAAAATTAATGGCATTTTCCTTTTGAGACATTGTTGAAATTGAATGTGATTTAAATCCATTCAAATTTCCTAAATCCTTGCAGGCAATTGATGCACACCAATGAAATACTTTGAAAGAGATAGATCTATGCACACATGCTCTGAATTTTTTAATTTCATGTGATTATAAATTTAATAAATACGCATGCAATTAGCATAAATTAACATAATTTTAGGCACATGCACGATGTGCGATCACATTTGTGCACGTTTCAATACGTGAAAAATTAAAATAATAAGTGATGAAATTTGTTAATCACTTCATTTCATCCTAATTATTCTCACATTGTGTACGGAATCTCAAGTCTTCTGTTGATATCAAGCAGCACAGCAACAATTAGAATTCCTTAGAATTCCTTTGTAACTTTTCAAAGAATGCAAATAACAAAGGTTATAATTAGTAAACAGTTGAAATTCAATAAAATATTATCGAGACATTTTTATTGGACAGAATCGAAATGTCATGTTTGCGTTTTTCTTTGGCATATGAGGCTACATGACATGGTTTTCTGAGTATCAGATTGGATAAGATGACGTAAGGTCAAAATATTTTTAATTTGGATATTCTCCTTTCCAGTAAGTTACCGCGTTCGAAAAGAAATTCTAAACGACAAAATTGTTATATATATACCTTCAGATATTTTAAAAGTAAATTATGAAAGGTCACGGGTATTATAAAGCAATATTTATTGAAACGATCAAAATTTTCTCCACTTTTAATTTTCTTTCTTAAATTATTTAAAATTCCAAATCCAAAACGAAATCATGCAAGATACAAATACATATAAAGGAAATAATAAGGTTTTGAATATAAAAAAATTAAAAACAAAAAATTAACAGGGATTGAACTGAAAGTCAAACTTTGCATCGCCACCACCACCACCATCATAAAGAAAAATAAAACAATGAAATGAATGATGCGTAAACAGAGAGAAAAAAACAAACTTGAAAATAAGATTATAATATAATTACGCAAGATATTTGTTGACACACATCACAATCATACAACACAACGCAACGCCAATTTTCCAGATCTTCAGAGGAATTTTGAAAGAATTTGAATTTTAAATAATTCAAAAATTAATCTATCAAATACATACAATGCTAAGTATTTGATGGATTAATTTTTAATTAATTTTCTATATTATACAAAAATTGAAAACTCGCAAATTAACTTGTTTCTATTTTTTCACTCTTATCTTGAAGCTAAAGCTAGCAATTCATTGCAAGATATTTGATTTTATATGAAACCTTCTGATACCGAAAATTAAAGTATTTGAGGCATTGAAGGAAAACAAAGCAATGAATACTGTAAGCCCAAATTTTCACAATATTCTCAGCAGCAAATTTGTATATTTATTTTCATTTTATGATGAAGTATTTAGGACTATTTTATTTTAATTTTAAGCAGCCAAAAAAATTTATAAAGCTGTACGTAACAAAAATTATTCTCTCTCATATTGAATTTTTGGAAAATTTGTTAAATAATTCAATAATGGAAAAACTATTTAATACTAAATTTTTATCATTACAATTCGTTATATTTTAGGGAAAGAGGGAAAGAGAATTTAGATCTTTAAAAAAATTTAACTGACATAAATTTATCATTTTTTTATTTACTTATAATATCTACAGTTCTTCATAAAATATTACAGAGTTGAATTAACAAATATTTTAAATATTTTGTCAATAACAGAACTTATATAAATTAAAAAATATAATCAAAAAAACTCTTAGAATTTTTTGATCATTCAAAATCTTTATTAATTTGGAGGAAAATGTAATCAATGATAGCGTGCTTAATAATACTACGATTATTTTTATCTTTTTTAAAATCTTATTTTCTCTAATATTTTATGCTCTCTTTCAACTCATTGATTAAAAAAATCTCATTAATTCATTCTTAGATTAGAAAAAAGGCGTTGTCTTTAATTAGTATGATAGTTGACACGAACCTTCTATGTCTCCGCAGTAATGACTAGCTTTGTCAGCACTGACCACACATCGGCCAGTGTCGTTCATTGCTAGAACGACACTCGATTGCTGATAGTTCGGGAAATCTGAAGGTGTTATCATACCATATCGTTTTCATTTACCCTGTTTTTTTTTTCAGTCATTCTTTTTAAAAAAAATTTAGATGAAATTTCAAAATTCAAAAACTTACATTGGTCATTTCGTAATTTCGTAATTCAATCTATTAGAGTCCTCCAATTTTTGAAAATTTGATTACAAAAAATGATCTTAACTTTAAAACTGGAAATCTGAGATTTGTAGTAAAGCTGCCAATGCTATGAGCATCGTTTAATAACAATCAATAAAATTAAACGAATTGAAAATTTTGACGTAAACAGTTTCAAGCTATATTTGAAAATATATGCATATGATGACAGGTTCTGTGTTTATTCGGCGGCAAACTTGACTCATTTGAGATAAATAAAGTTCAGTTTCATATTTGTCGGCAACAAGTGAAGTTGACAGGCTATCATCCATTGAGGTCAAAGTTTACAAAAAATTGTCTATGACAGTTGCTATAAGAAGTGCTTCAAGCTATTACTTACGAAGAAAAGTGTAAATTTAATATTCATTTCCAAATATTTTGTAATTACCTTAATCTCCAAACGGAATATCATACCGATTTAATGGGAATAGTTAAAGTTATTGAAATTTATCAAATAATGATCATTGTTTTATAATTGATTCTAACTATGCAATTTTACAAAATTCTATGAAACTGCTGATTTGCATGATTTTATCAAACTTTTGACTTTCGTGATAATTTCCAATTATAATTTCCCTCAAATGTTATTCATTTTCATTTTTTTTCAAGAATTTTCTGACCCTCTACTTATGAAAACATTTAGTCTGTGATATTTTCCGTTAATTTTAATCCATAAAACATCGGAATTTGCAATCTCAATGTAATGATTTTAATATTGCTAAAATAACAGCCGATGTATACAGAAGAGAAAGAAACAGATATGTAATGAAATAATTAAATGAAGCTTTTTACAGTCATGCGGTAGTTTGTTGGTGTTGTTGATACTTTTAGATATGTGCAAGATGAGTGTAAGAGTCCGAAGAGATATGCAAATTGGATGCAATGAAAAGCATAGGACAGTAAGGAAGGCGGAAATGTCCAACAGGAAGGGAGTCAACCAATTAAAAGATAGGTGACAGAAAAATTAATTAGTTATATAGTCATTAAAGTTGATAATATCTCTTTAGGCTTATATAGATCGTAGATAGGAATGGAATTGGGAAATGTGCTGAGAGCTCAGAATAATGGAAAGTCATAATCAGGTAAGTAATTCCAAAATAAAGTTATCAAATATGTAAGGCTTTCAAAAACAAACAATTTAGTTTATCAAAATTTGACAGTCATGAAAATGTTCAGATTACAGGGAGATTTTTTTTTCAAAAGCCTTTCTTTTTACTTCAGTCAAAAGTAGTAGAAGAAAAAAAGTGAACTGTGAAAATAGTCTTATCTCGAAAAATATTAGCGCATATGTGCTCATTCTTCGAGATGATAATAAAATTTCTAAATGATAACAAAATTTGTTTATTTCGTCTACCTGGTCCTCTCCGAGAATCTCTCTTCCTCAGCAGACTGCATTCTTTGATGATATTGCCAGGATAACCTGTACATTCAAAAATGTTTACGAATGCTTTTTTTTTGTTACCAAATTATCTTTGGACTTCTACTCCAATACAATAAGAGTGATAAGCTAAATAACAACAAAGTTGTAGTCGGTAATTTACAACTTTGTGAAAATTTAATATCAGCATAATAAAGTGTTAATTTTGCACAAAAAAATGGACTCTCTTCTATAATTAAATTAAATGTATAAAATTTTTTGATATATGCCGAATTGTATTAGTAGCATTTCTTTGCTGTGAAATTCAATTGGAAAATAAAAATGGGAAAGACTAACAGTAGATCTGTGGTCCATTATGGTAAAGGCTTTTGGCCAAATTAAAGCTTTCAGCAAAGTTTAGCAGATAGCAGTAGTGAATAAGGCATAAAGCAAGTACCGCTGTAGCATTATTTTAAATTGGATTTTTCTTCCTGTCAACTATTCCATGAATTTTGTATCAATTTCACATTTCAATGTGTTCTATCGGTAGCAATAAGTGAGATAAAATAATCTTGTTGGAAACTTTTTTTAGCAAATTACATTTGCATCTCTTTTCAGTGACTTTTAAGTCTTTTGGTGCTATAATAGCTAAATTTTGAATACTGTAAATGTGAATTTAAATTAATTCCTCACTATCTATTATTTATTGAATCATAAGTGTAAGTATCAATTCGGAGATGTAACAATTCTTTTTTTTCAAGCAGAAAAAATCACTTTCAAATAAATGATTTTTAAGTTATTCAATTCTCGGAAGATGATGACAGCAGTGGGATATGAAAACCAAGCAAGCTAATTTTTATCATTTAGTAATTAAAATTAAAATGCGCTATAGAAAATGTCGTAGGATGTTCACTTAAGTTTCACCAAAAGTGTATTACTTAAACAATGAGTTATCAAATCTTCTTAGGAATACAAAAATTCCAAAACAGATTATGGCACCTAAAATGAGAGTTCAATAAAAGAAAAAGTTGGCGACTACGAAATACCTGTAAGTCATTCCAGAAAAAATTGTCTATTCAGTTTTAAAAAAATATCAATTCCGAAAAAACGTTCATTAATATCAAATCTTAGCTCTTCTATAATTGTGGAATAAGAAGATGTGAATTTAGGAGATACGTCAGTTACATACTCGTAATTTACTCACTTCAAGCTAATGAAAAAATGATTCAGCGTGGAAGGAAAAATTCAATGCATTAAATTTTCCCGATATGATAGATTGAAGAATTTCTGCGCAAAATGTATGATATTTAATATATCTATTCTCTTCAATTAATTTAGTTCTAAGGTTTTTGAAATAATTATTTAACAATTTTCCTTGAAGTGATTCGCCGAAAAATTTGGAAGTCGAAACTCTTTGGGAAAAGCGATGATGACGACTTATCCAAGATTAATTTACAAAAATAATGAAATTTTTCTTAATTTCAAAAAATCCAGAAATAGACCATTCAAATGTAAGAAAAGTCAATATAAATTGAAAAGGAAACAAATACAAATTAAAAGAAAAGAAAGAGATAGGAATGATTAAGTCATTATGAAAGATAAAGTCATTTATCGAATGATTAAATATTTTTGATTTCGCATAAATTCAACAACAACAAACTAACTTTTCGTTGCTCGCTTGAAGCGATTGATTTGACGCATAATTTCTTCCATGCGCAAATCACCGACTAAATTTGGAATGAAATTTCCTCGTTCATTCAATGTCTGGCCTAGTGTGAACGGTGGCGCAAACAACAATGCTAACATGACCCAAGGAAATATGGGCCAAACCATTTGGCCAAGTGCCATTGTTTTGCTAAAATTAAAAAAAAAATTGTAATGAAATGAATACCTTTCCAAAGATAAAATAAGTGCACTTGAACCACTTGAACGTTTTAAGCTTTAAAATAACCTGAAGTATGTAAGTTTATGTTTAAATTTTCTTTTTCCCTTTCATAGAAAAACAAAATTTAGAAGCTGCCAAAATAAAATTAAACAGAATTAATAAGAAAAATGGAATTTGGTCCATCTACCACTATAAACTAAGTATATATTTTTTATTTTTATGAAAAAATTTAGTGACAGTGCAAAAAGGCGCAGAAAAAAGCACAGAAATGATTTATTACATTTAATATTTGTATGGTAAAGAAGCTATAAAACTGACCTTTTTGAGCAGTAATGTATTGTTCCTTTAGATCACACAATGCTTATTGATATTCAAATTGTTCAAAATAGAAAAACCGTTGAATGCTATCAATTTGTACAACGTTTTGTCACAACGTTTGTCTATTTTTCGAACTATTCAGCTCTGTTCGATTCTCAAAATGAAACAATTATTTGTACGGTTGCTATTACTACCCCAGTGGAATTATCTTTTCTCTACTTGGCTTCTCTGAAATGAAATATTTGATTGTATTAAAAGAAGTTCAAATTACAGCAAAATTCAGACAAGAAAAAAATCGTACAAATTTAATAGTTTCAATTACAGTATTTTAAAGAAAAACTATCCGCTAAAATAAACATTCAAAGCAACTATTCCACAAATGTAATCAAATATAATGGTAAATTAATTAATTCATTGCTTGAGTACTTAAACGGTAAAAGTTAAATCCGTCCTCTCCTTTTTCTTAATATATCATTGGAGCATTCAACTGAATTGAAGAATTACGTAGTAACGTGAAGTAAGAAAATCCGCTTCAAAGAGACAACAGTAATTAAAAGGAAGAGTCTAATTAAGATACATTTATGAATTATAAATGTTTAGCAATGAATGTTTTTTTATGTATAATTTTAAACTAGAAATTTAATAAATCAATTAGTTCAAAAAATGTCTTTTCAAATTAATAAAAAAAATGTAGCTAAATGGAGACTATAAGTTAAGGGATTAGCTAAAACGAATGCTTAAAAACAAGAGTCAGATATATGCAAAACTTTTTGGGTCTTAAAAGCTAACCAACTCGGAGAGCTTGGATTATATATAGCTAACGAATAGATTGTCATTTCAGTTTTTATCTTTTTTTTTGCTTTATTGATCTTTCCCAATGTTCTACAACTGAGTTTTAAGACATAAATAACAAAAGAATGCTTTTTTTACATTCTTTGCAGAATAAAAATCTTCATTATTGCAATTTGTTAAAAATAATTATTCATTAGCAAATCAAAAGACAAATTTCCATGTGACCTTATTAAAATTTCATTTTTCAGTCTTTTTTATTAAAATCTTCTAAAAGTTTTAGAAAAAAGAAAATCATTGTTAAATTCATGCAATCATAAAATTTTAACAGGAAGGGCCAGAAATTTTGGGGATACGTACGATGATTTATATCATTTATGGGATAGTTGAAAAATGCATATTGTTATTTAGATTTTAATTTCCAACAAATTCTTTTGACCTTTGAGTTATCAATTTAATTTTCCTTCTGCTTTCTAATTTACCAACTAAAAGTTAGAATATAATCGGTGGCAAAATATTGCTAAGCTCTTTTAGAGTTATTCAAAAAATATAAAAAATTATATTATAATCTGATAATCTAATCTTGTAGTGATTAAGAATCATCATTTTCAAATAATATTATTTAAATTTAAAAATACTTTCCGGTGCAACTAAAATTTAATCCACAGTCATAATTTCTATTCGTGAAAATGATAAGTTTATTAGAAGAAAATTATATGTGAATTGATGGAGGGTTATTTGAGATTGTAAACAAACACTCAAATTGCTGTGTTTATATAAAAAAGAAGAGATTTTGAAGTGATGAAGTTTGATATTTGTTAATTTTTGATGCAATGTAATGTGTCATCGAGACTAAGCCTCTGAAACGTTGAACACTGAAATGAATCGCTCATTTTCTATCGCTTTTCGAGAAATGTAACATTGATGAGCGAGAAAATGTATTTCAAAGAATTGATTAGCAACAGGTAACAAGAATATTACTTTTAGCTGTTTATTTACTCTTTTCGTCAAGAATATAATACTTATAAAAATTGACGATAATCGAGAAATTTCTATATTTAGTTAACGAATGCTTACTGGATGTGCAATCGCTTAAAATCTTAAAATTTTATGAATAAATATTAGCATAAAATTTATGTCTAAAGTTTTCAAAAGAAAGAAAAAATGAAAAAGGTTTCAGAAATGGATTAAGAAGCAAAACAGATGAATAATGAAAATTTTCTCCAAATTATGGTACCACTATATTGCTGGTGCCATAATATTACCATACCGTCGATGGTACCATAATTAGAATAATAAAGTATGAATAATTCAGGTAGATAAATGATATTAGAAAAGGGAAAGAGTACGAAAGCAGTTTTACTGCAAGACTGAAAAATTACGAATAAACAAATAACACATTCAACTGGACTTGAGGATTCTGAAAATTTTTGTTGTAATTAAATATTTAATTGTGAGAGAGAAAGAAACTGAGAGAAAAATAGAGAGAGAAAGATAATATTTGAACAAACAATTGACATAAATTATCGAATTAATCAAATTATTCCAAAATTTTAACATGAAAGATATGTTCTTTGAAATGACTATTTAGCCACTGCTTTGTTCACGTTTAAATGCTTATATTAGTCCATCCAACGCTTTCTATACTTGCGTAATGCATCTTATGTTAATAATGATTTATCCGAAAAAAAGGAAAATTCTCGAAATTTACTTAATCACATATCTTTCATGCCATTCTAGTTTTATTAGCTGTGACTACGCGATTTTTATGAAAAGCTGAACATCTTGTGCTCAAAACATAATAGTGGAAGTCTTAACTTCTATTGTTCTATCCTAGGACTCGCGAAAAGTTTACACCATTTGATTTATTGCTCAAATTTTGCAGTAATTCTACAGGTGCTCGTTATTCTCTTATCTTTTCATCCCTGCTAACAATTTATTCTATCCTATTTCATTTCCAATTCTTATTTTAGCCGACATGTCAGCTTACATTTCTTTCTGTTTCTCTCTCTCTTCTTTCTATCATTATTCCTTTTTATCACTCTGCTAACATATTTATCACAACAAATAGTGCTACATGCATCACATCGCGATAAGAATAACTTCCTACCAGTCAGGTATTCATTCATACAATGGCAGTTGTTCATTTAATGAATTATCAATAATTGGACAAACAAAACAATCTGCACTGTATTTTTTGCAATTGAAAAGTGCTAATATTGACAAATCATATAAAAATGGAAAATTTTCATTATCTGTTTTGTGAAAAATAACGTGTTTTGTTAATTAATAATTATTCAGTTTGATTGAATTTGAATGATAATTAAACATTATTTAAATAGAGTGGAAATAAACGAGTTGTACACGAAATATCACCGATAACCATTTTACAATATTACACACTTTTGTAAACTACGTAAGAATAATGATATTCCACAACGATACCACAGCGATATATATGTATATGTATATGTATTCAAGCATTTGTGTGGCGCTTTTGCTCATACAATTTTTACAGTAATACTTTTGTTTGAGTTGCATATTGTAAAGATTTTTGCCAGCAAGAAATTAAAAACAAATAGTAAAAGATTTGTTAGATTGATAATTCATTCATGCTCGAGAGAAACAAACGCTCAAAAAGTTTTCATTCACTTTATTCCTATACTCATATATATATATACATATATATATTTGTTTATTCATTTTATTTATCAATTTAATTTTTTATGGAAACACCTGATACCGAGAACGTTTTGAATAAAAAATAATGTTTCTCAAGTTCATTCATTTTATTATATGAATTATTTTTATTTGTTACCAGAATCAAACACTGACAAAAATCATGATAACAATAATAATAATAATTTAGTTAAAATTTGGAGTTGAAAAAAGACAATCCCTTCGCCACTATTTTTTATAGCAAATTAGTTAAATGAGCTGAGCTGCAAAATGGCAAAATTCAAAAATAATTGTATATGAGGATGAGAATGAGATATGTTTATTATTATAATGCATGCCGAGCATTTTTTTAAAAATTTATTCAAGCTTTTTGATCCTACCAAATATGCATCAT